TTCGTGCCCCCCCCCCCCTTCTGCTCCTCAGCAGCTCTGTAGCTGCAGCGGCCAAGGAGAAGAGAAAGGTGGGATAATCAGTTCAGCTGCCTGTCACGCTGGCTCCTCCGGCCACCTGAAGCTTCCTCCACCCACATTAGCTGCCATAAGCTGGGAGGAAGATTGGAGAGGTACAATTGGCGGGCTGGCAGGAGTGCGCTGTACCTGAAGGAAGTCTTCACCTCGAACATGGAGATGCATCGCTGTGCCCCTACCCACCACCAGGAGAGGAAGAGGGCACCTGAATCACATCAGCTATGTGCACTGTAAGTCCCTGTTATTTCTTTATCGTACACCACTGACCTCTGTACTGTGCGTCATACTGCTGACCTCTGTACTCTGCATTACATTACTGGCCTCTGTACTGTGCGTCATACTGCTGACCTCTGTACTCTGCATTACATTACTGACCTCTGTACTGTGCGTCATACTGCTGACCTCTGTACTCTGCATTACATTACTGACCTCTGTACTCTGCATTACATTACTGACCTCTGTACTTTGCATTACATTACTGACCTCTGTACTGTGCGTCATACTGCTGACCTCTGTACCGTGCTTTACATTACTGACCTTTGTACTTTGCGTTACATTACTGATCTCTGTACTGTGCATTACATTACCGACCTATGCACTGTGCATTACATTACCGATCTATGCACTGTGCGTTACATTACTGACCTATGCACTGTGCGTCATACTGCTGACCTCTGTACAGTGCATTACTGACCTCTGTACTGTGCATCACACTGACCTCTACACACTGCGTTTTTACTGAACCCTGTACTGTGCATCATACCACTGACCTCTGTACATTTCTGCAGCGGGGGGACCATAAAGGGAGGCTCAACGAGGATGCAAGAGGCTTCTCCCTGTTACATGGAGGCAACATCGCTACCACCCCCCAAGGAGAGGAAGAGGGCACCTGAAACAGATCAACTGTGAACTGTAAGTCCATATTATTTCTGCGTTACACTGCTGACCTCTGCGTTACAATACTGACTTCTGTACCGGCGGTCTCTGTACTGTGCGTCACACCACTGGCCTCTGTATTTGGCATTACACCACACCCCTCTGTACTGTGTGTTATTACTGATCTCTGTACTCTGCGTCACACTTCTGACCTGGCAGTGTTAGGGTCGGGGCAGGGTAGGGATTAGGTGGGGCAACTGGTGGCCAGTAACTTTTAAGGCCTGGCTGGTAGCTCAGGACTTGAAATTTTGAGCCCTTCTCTACAATATGGGTGACTTTATACTTTCAGATTATGGCTTGCTCATGACTAATGTTTTGATGCCTCTGGGCAGCTGAACTGATATCAATGTTATTTGTATGTTCAACCTGATGACTTTGATGTGTATTGCGGATATTACTGTTCATTAGATGATGCATGATTCTTGATCTCGGTCCTCCCCCCTCTTGCCCAATTCCCCCTTCCTCACCTTGCATGATGTCCTTCACATTATCTTGGCAATTGGAATATTGTCCTCGGGGAAATCCTCTATTTTTCTCCATGTATCTATATTTCTCTCTGTATGAGTATCTCCTGCCATGTAATCAGATTAATAATGTGACTCCTCGGTCTTTCTTGGTATATTGTAAACATTCCCACTTCTTGTTACACTTTACTTGTTTTATCTTTGCAAAATGAAACCTTTATTATACACAAACAAGGCAGCGATAGTCTTTTCTGTATCCATATCCGCCTAATGCACCTGCTTTAATGGAAAGCTTAAGAACCGAGAGCTCCTTTTCATTTGGCACAATCTCCTTTTGAAGAATTGTTGAAAATAAGTGCTATTTGTTCACCAAAAGCTCAGACACAAACGTCACACGATTGTGACAATTTATTTTATTATATACTGTAGCTATACAGGAAAAATCTCATAACAATTCACTATCAATGGGATTACAAAAGTAATCAGCGGGATTAATTTGCAGAAACAAAAAAAATTGCATTGATTTAAATTTTCAAATAATTTTTTTTCCAGTTTTATATATATAAAAAAATAATCAAAGCAAATACAGTCCCAATTAGAACCACCAGACAACCAACAAAAATGCACTACAATATTATTTTATTTAGTTACAGAAGAATCTATATATCAGTACAGTTTGAAGAAAGACATTTTCCTTAGTGCTATTTACAAATCGTTATCTTCACGTTTTCTTTTTTTAAACTGTTCTTTACAAATTTAAAGTGAGATCAGTATGAACAATACGACCGAATGCATACAAAGCATTTTGTCAAAGCTATCATGACGAAAAAAAAAAAAAAAAATTGATCAGATTATGATAAAACGATGCAGACTGTTGGGAAAAGAAAAAAAATACATGGAACATAGGTAACTTTTTGACACCTTCATCCAGTACTGTATACAGAACGCTAGGTCAACCTGTGACTTTACATGTTCCATAGGCAAAAGCGTTTATAGGTATATTGATCTATTACACTATGCCGATCTATTGTTAGATTCTATAATAATGCATTTTATATATATTTTTTTTTAATTAAATATATTCTACACATATTTGTAATTTCAACCAGGAAGACTTTTCTCCCTAGTGGAAACAATATAAAAACGTTTATATATTTATTTATTTTTTACAGTTTAAAATGAAACGTAGATCCATGCTTTAGTGCTGTGCAAATTCAATATAGTATATCTTTAAATTATGTGAATGAAATGGATAAATGTTTTTGTCCTGTCGGAGATTTTAATATCCTTGCAAGCACTAGTACGAATGCCGGCTACGTAAAGAAAAAGAAAAAACAAAAAAACAAAGTCTTGTTACTATGGTAGCAAACTGTCGTCTTAATATCTTCAATAGCATGAAATTGGACACTAGATTATGGATGAGTCGGGTTTTTTGTCACTGAAAACATCACCATTGGATAATAAAACACAAAGTTGATTAATAAATGACATCTGCTAATATCTCTGCACATTAATAAAGGCTTATGGACTATAGGATACTTGACCCTCCCATATTAAGGCTAGGAAAGGCACTCCTCTCGTAGGCATGGTACGAGTGCGCATGCAACAAATGCTCAAGAGAGAGTGCACAGGATAGTACATTAAACATTGCTCCGGCGCCCCCTGCAGAGTGCTTTCAGTTTACAGGCACATTTAAACTTCATTCCTTGAAAATAAACCATATCATCGCTCAACTGATACTACCGTGTGCCACTAAGGGCAGTAAATAGGTTAGGTAGAATTCTTCTCACTAATACTTAGATTTCAGTCTGATTGGATAGCCTTGATTTCCAGTGTAACTCGTCCTGTAAGTTGTTGTATTAATATGGCTACAGCTATCAGATGCTGAAGACTGGCTCGAGTGCAATCTGTGTACGGGCAGCCTGAAATCATTGATTCTGGTTTGTATTGTTATGCTGCAGCAAGATTATGTTCACTGTTGTGGAAGAGAACGGACCGACTTTTTCCCCTGGAGACTGAGTGGATTCAAATATGGAGATACTAGACGTACTACAAAGTTATTTTGTGGGGGGAGAAAAAAGTAAAAAAAACAGAAAAATCAGGTTGGAGAATGTCCTTAGTCTCTTCTGATGAAGAGTTTAATGAGAGTTCACGTAACCAGTCCTTTAGACAGGATGACAGGGTGTTGTTCTAAGGTTCTCTGAAGCAATGGGTCTCCTCTATTCCAGCAGCATGAAAGACAAAGACTATATTACATCACACGTCGCAGACACATCGTCATTTACAGAATTACACAGCAGTTGCTCTCTCCGGTTTTCTCGCGGTTTCTTTGACCTGCAAGAGAAGCAAAGTGAAGTCAGAGCCATCAATAAACAAAATGAATAAAGAACGCTAGTACAGAATCTATTGTCTGCAATGCAGGGAAGGTTTCATGGAAATGGTGAAATCTTTCTAAAGCAGATTTAAAATACCTTCAAGGTTCAGTTTGTTTATCCAGAAGCAGAGGCCGGACACACCCATCTCAACTACAACATTTTAACCTATCGCTTCTGTTGTAAAGCCGACAGTCGGCTCTACAAGTTTAAACAGACTCCCGGCGGCAAAAGTCACCAGCCCCGATGCTGGCGACGTACACTGTATGTCGTCAGTCACGAAGGGGTTAACATAAAGGAAAACAAAGCCAACGGATATAAAGAGGCAAAACCTTTTATTTTGGTTTTGAGTAGGGAAGGGATAAAACCTGACTGTGTGTCCAGTTGGGTAGTTTTTAGATGACATCTTGTCCTGGAGATGCAACAGGAAGTGAGAAGAAACAAGTGTCTTGGCGTTGGAAGATTTCCCCCCTACCCCTTGTTCTGGTGATAACTAACATTTGGGATTTTTTCCCTTTTTGTCCCGGTGAACATGGTCACCTTGACACACAGAGAGCGCAAATCTCGCCAGTGATTAGAGTGAGTTTTTATAAAACAAAAATACAATCATAAAGAAATGTCCAGTAAACAGCCTGCCAATCACAGTAGGTATACCGTATATAGTCGAGTATAGGCCGAGATTTTCAGCTGTACATGATATGTAGCCCTGTACCCCCTTTTCCACTTACAGAGCTAGGTTATTTTTCTTTTAAATAAATATTCATGTAATTTTATTGGTATCTATCTACCAGTAGCTGCCTCATTTCCCACCCTCGGCTTATATTCGAGTCAATACTTTTTCCCAGTTTTTTGTGGTAAAATTAGGTACCTCGGCTTATATTCGGGACGGCTTATACTCGAGTATATACGGTACATCTATAAGCATAAAACTCAAGAAGTCCATGTTGTCTCACACTAATTCAGACGCAACACCACTTATCTTGTTGGTTACGCATGTTCTCCTGGATATAAAAAACACGGAAGGAGAATTTCGACTATGCACACAGTTTTATCGTGTTTACAGATATATTCAGAAACTATTTAAACAATTATTCCCCTTTTGATGTCACGATAGCTGTGAATTTCGCAGTGTCATACATAGAGAGTTCATATATCCAGACCCACATTTGTATCTCGTGCAAAGCATACCATAGTAAATGTTGGGACACAGAACAAGCACCGGATGGAGTAGGAGACAGACTAGGAAATATTATAGCTGCAAGCATTTACTTCCACCATTCTAGATATTTTGCAGCCATTTAATGTAAATAACAATAATAATGGGAAAACAAATATTTGCATGTGAGACTGGGGCTATGTCCAGGAGGGACGGCGTCCGGGGTTTCTGAGTAGTAAAAACGGGTAACATTTCCCATAAGGCTTCGTTCACAACTACGCGTTATGCAATGAGCACAAAGGTGTGTGTTTTTGCGAACATTGTCACAGTGTGCAGAAACATTAACCAAAGCTCAGACACAAACGGAAGATGATGCCTTCAATTCTTTGCTAAAGGCACCCCAACACACCTTGTTGCACCATGCACTTTGACATGTGTGAATTGCACCAAAACACATAGTAAGACAGTAGCATGCACATAGTAAGACAGTAGCATGCACATAGTAAGACAGTAGCATGCACATAGTAAGACAGTAGCATGCACATAGTACTTTGTTACTATGTGTTCTGGTTCGGCATGTTTAAAAAGAAAAGATCCATGGACTTCTTTGGTGCGATTTCCATGCGTAGGGTATCCCACTAAAATGAGGGACTGCCCTATATAAAAATGCACATACACACAGACACACTGTCACACCTGCACAGGTGTGAATGAGGCCCAAGAAATCTGGTTTTTAAACACGTTTGAGGTAACAGCTATAGCGTCACATCAGACACAAGTTTTCATTCATAAGCTGTGGAAATGTGCTGGGAGAAAGAGGCCTCCACACAATAAAAACCATGAACATCCAGACACCCACAGATATCCAATATTCCATATGGCAACACTAATGTATAAACAGATCATATTTAATGTTCACGTATATACAATACACATACAAATATCTCCCAATAAAACCATTTAGAACTTCCCAATTCTCCAGCTGTCATTTGACTGACCTTGATAAGCGAGGCCGACTCCACTGAATGCACCAACATTACCATGCTTTGTATATTACCACCACACTGCCAGCATACTGGGAAGTCCTAAGCTTTAAAGTGACATTAAATCCTCAGATTTTTTTAACATAAACCAATACTGTGATGTGTGCCTTACTGTAATCCATGGTAGTTTCCCTTCTATTTGCTGCTCTTCCTTTTAAATCCTCATGTCTTCTCATGCTGGGGGAGAACTTCCCTTTGCAGCTGAGTGCCTCTCCCTGTAGTGCTGGCTCAGGTTGCAAACCTACACACAGACACCATGTATCCATTCCAGAGACAAGGCAGTCTGCTGCAAAACAGAAGTTCTCCCTCAGCATGAGAAGAGATACAGATGTAAAAGGAAGAGCAGCAAAGAGAAGGGAAACAACCATGAATTACAGTAGGGCACACATTACAGTATTGTTTTATGTTAAAAAAATCTAAAGGTTTAATGTCACTTTAAGCTTCCATTGTTCTGGGACAAGCACAAAAAAGATTCTCTAACTATCTCCATTGCCATTATAGCCAGCCAAGGCCAGTGGCAGAGTATAATGGCAATGGAGAACTAAAGGAGCCCGAACAGTTACTTATTCACCCTACTCTGTTTAAACCTTACAATATCCCAGGAAGACGTGATGGATGTCAATGTGCCATTTCCCAAATGAAAAAGCTAGATTAAAAAAGTTCTGAAAGCAGATCCTTTTGGCTAAGGAGGGGGTTTTCCAAGTGGGGTAACTTCAGGACATCATTCAGAAAGTTGCTAATAGGTGCCCATACGGCTACAATTAGTCAGTATTGATAAAGACTCTTCAAAAGAACTCCACATCATAAAATAAAGGCATGAACCAAGAGCCCGCGCTGCCTGCATTTTGGCAAAGCTAATAAGCATCATTCTTCTAAATCATAAGTGTCAAACTCCGGCCCCGCGACGGAATTATCTCTGGCCCGCCTGATAATTATCATTAGCTTTGGCCCTGCCCGCCGGCACCTCTCTCACGCTGCCCACGGCGATCATGGGACTGAGGAGCCGGAGAGCTGCCGCCGGCCAGAGGACTGCATTACCCAGCAGGCAGCAGCACAGCGTGACAAGGGAGGTGTGGCCGTGAGGTGACTGAGGAAGGGTCCCGAGGTCCAGTTCAGATGACGTGAGGTGCTCCTTGGCGGGAATCAGGATCCAACACAGACGACAGAGAGCCGGGAGAGCCGCAGCCTGCAGGTACTGTGCTGTGACACTGTCAGTCAGTATATCTCTCCCCTTCTCCATCACTTCTTCTGTACTGTAGAAGTCATGGAGAAGAGGGGGAGAGATATACTGAAAGTAGTATCTGTGACACCTGTGTACCGCCATGTGCGTTCAGATGCTGCAGTGCCGTCCGTCCGTTTTTTTACTACGGGCGGACGGCAAGAGGTTAAATGATAGTAAAAATTATGTGGGGGGATGGTCACTGGGGACAGTAAGGACTCCATACCGTCCCCAGTGACCATCCCCCCAACATACTTTTTTTACAGTAATTTAAATAATAGAGATAAAACTTTTTTTTAACATCTCTAATTGATGATTTTCCAGATGGAAAAACGTTTTCGTAAGTAAATTCTTTTGTTGTAAATGCTGTGTACTATTGAATGTCTGTTTTTGCCAAATATTTAGGCTATTTCTTAAAAGGGAAAGTAAATAAAAAAGTTAAAAACAAAATGTTGTTTCATTCTAATTATGTATCATGCTTTTTAATAATTAAAAGTACAGGCTTTGTTATTATACCGTGTGACATACTGTATATGCCGCTGTATTATACCGTGTGATATACTGTATATGCCGCTGTATCATACTGTGTGATATACTGTATATGCCGCTGTATCATACTGTGTGATATACTGTATATGCCGCTGTATTATACCGTGCGACATACTGTATATGCCGCTGTATTATACCGTGCGATATACTGTATATGCCGCTGTATTATACCGTGTGATATACTGTATATGCCGCTGTATTATACCGTGTGATATACTGTATATGCCGCTGTATTATACCGTGTGACATACTGTATATGCCGCTGTATTATACCGTGTGATATACTGTATATGCCGCTGTATTATACCGTGTGATATACTGTATATGCCGCTGTATCATACTGTGTGATATACTGTATATGCCGCTGTATCATACTGTGTGATATACTGTATATGCCGCTGTATCATACCGTGTGATATACTGTATATGCCGCTGTATCATACCGTGTGATATACTGTATATGCCGCTGTATCATACTGTGTGATATACTGTATAAACCACGGTATAAAGGTGGCCATACACTGTACAACCATCGCAAGACCATAGTCTTGCGATGGTTGTAAAGGGATTAAAAAAACGTACGATCTGCCCATCTTGGACAGGCAGATCGCACTCTTGATCATCGCAAGCCACGCCCCCTGAGGGGCGGGCTTCCGATGACCGCAATGCTGAACGGGCAGTGTGCGCGTGCGCACACCGGCCCGTTCAGCATTTGTCTTCCGAGCACCGTTCTAACCAGCCGAGAATCGTACGATTCCCGGCTGGTTTTCGAGCATGCTGGTTCGACAGAAGACGTGCGACCGTACAGTAGAAACGGTCGCACGTCTCCGTTCACACTGCTCGATTCTCGTACGATCGCCGGATTTCCCGCGATTCTCGTACGAGAATCGAGCAGTGTATGGGCACCTTTATACTGTGTGAACCAGCCCGGCCCTCGACTTGGAGGACATTTTTAAACATTTTGGCCCACAGTGTATTTGAGTTGGACACCTCTGTTCTAAATGATCAGGGGTGTGAATACTTACGCTGTACTGAGGCAAACCTGGAAAGCCCAAGCCTTACCAATCAGCAGTGTGATCCCAGAAAACTAGACTACAGGCAACTAAGGGATTTTACAAGCAAGGCTCAGGAGTGGTGGAAATATAGTGTATTGGTTGCAACATCAAATGTCACTGACAAACAGTAAAGCACAACCAACTGTGCCACACTACAAAAGGAGGAAGCACAACATGCCAATGTAATGAATACATGTGGTTTTCCTATGTACTACAAATATAATTACATCTCTATATAGAAATGCTTTGAAAACATAAAAATGGATTTATCATCTAACAGCAACCCTCCTATCTCCCTCCCCCACACACAATGACTTGAATACAAATCCTGGCTATTGGCACAGACCATTTAACCTAATGTTAATCAAAAGGTAGGTACTGTATGCTCTTCATAGCAGGTCATTAGTAGAGCCGTTAGGATTATTATTAGGGGATTGGCCCCTTATCCCATTTAAACAAAACCTTTTATGAAAGAGATTAGGCGCGTGCATTCTACAATCTTCCATGAATGGCAGACAATACGTATGACAGTGCCATCACTGCTGTGAGCAGCCTCTGCTCAGTGAAGGGGTTGCCCTTTCAGTAAAATGCCTAGTTAAAGTTCAGCATGTAAATGAGCTGTTCTCTCAGGGAATCATGCCGGTAGTTTAATGTTGGGGAAATGTTAAGTTACTTATCTCTCCAGAATTTTACATAAATATGAATATTAAATATTACAAATAATCAAAAGGGACCTGGGATAATGAAGTACAAAATGCACTTTGCATGGAAATCAGTGTGTTGGAAAGGCAGAGACAAGGAACGTTGGGATGAATAGCAGAGAGGATGTGCAGACTTCAGTAAGACACAACAACCAATCAGAGATCATCCTGCATTGATCTCATATTAATAAACGGAACTCTGGCTGCTGGGATTCATGCCTCTTAATATATTTTTCAGCTTGCCTGAACAAGCTTCAATTTCACGCCGGTATTCATGGTTGCTGCATTATCTCACCCCTTTGGTTAAGACATAAGGGTGATGATCCTGTCGTCCACATAATACATAAAGATAAATTTGACGGTCTGCTCTGGCACCATTTCAGTATTTCCAGGACATTAGCAGTTCATTGTCTTGATCATACATTTGTTGTTGCCATTTGTGTGCGCCGGACCATTTGGCAGTGTCTCACCTTGTCTTCAGCATTATCCAGGTTTGTGGTCAGCAGGTGTCAATGGGGACTTCTATTTTCCTGTGGTTCTGTGACTTCTGCGTACCCATGTTGGACATTCTAGCACAGATTTAAGTCACAACCCGCCTGCATTTAGGACTACTATTGCTCCTTATAATACATGCACTGTTTGGTGCAGGGTCATAAAGCTGCTAAAAGGAAACCCAAAGACTACCGCATTGCCATTTGTAAGCTCAGCAAATAACCCCCAGAGATGCACAGAATAAGGAATTATGCTTCAACTGTACACTAGGGACTATACATACATATACATAAGCAGCCCCAACTTTGGCAGCCTTTGGTCCAACTTCTATTCACTTCTTTGGGAAATAAAGGTTGCCGTGTCTCAACTTCCATAGAGCCAGTTTCATCTGAATCAAAAAGGGTTAGCTGCAAAGTCTGCTCCTCTCCTTCCCTGTGCACACTGAATTATGGGACCCAAGAATTCATCTGGAACAGTTGGTATGTTGCCCAATATGGTGTGTGTGTTGTATAAGCCAAACTGCAAGCACATGCAACAGCAACTTGCTTCACCTTAATGAGAAAGCATCATCTCCAAGGAATCCCCACTTCTACCTTTGCACACTGACATGATGGATTCAGGAATTTCTCTGCAGCGGACAGTATATATTTGTTGTGTTGCTCTCTATGTGTAATGTAGTGTTGTTTCCTAGTTTATACAACGGACTTGCTGTGTTCCTTATTGTATTGGGTGATAAGGCATGCTAGATGTAAAAGGAGTATAGGTAGTCCAAACACTCAATTCTTTCACAGTTTTAGGGCAGTAAACCTCAGATAATTGGTAAAATACGGGTGTCTGGAACATTTGTTTTTTCATTGGAACCTAACTGGACCACACTTGACAAGATTTTCTTCTGGGCCGGCTAGGGGTTCTAAAAGAGGTTTTTTTTAATTTCTCTATTAAATCTGAACTTTACAACTGATCAGATGTTTCACTATTAGAAATAGGAGCATACCTAAAAATGAGTCAATCACCATTTGTTAAAGATTAGATGTGAGAAGATTGGTTTCATCTAGCTCATCGAAAAACTAAATCCTCACAAAACTAAACAAACTGGAAACCATAAAAAGGGTCCCAAACTTGAGCAAAATAATGCTAAATATTTCCCAACATAGCAACAAGTGCGGGGCCCCAGGTTTCTCCACACAATGACTGCATAGACCTCACCCAAAAATACCATACCTTGAGAGTTTGGCTCTGGCAATGTCTCTCTGGCAACCAAATGCATCACTGTTGTCTTGCCGAGTGGAAGTTTTAATGCTGCATGAAACAAAGTAACAAAATATTAGAAGAAACAAGAAAAAAAATATACAGAATTTTATTATTTATAAAAACAAATCCGTTTTTGTAATGCAGTAAGTAAATAACAGAATGAGCCTTTGTATTAGTTTCTCGCAATCCCCTACAGAGCGAGACTCAGACTGAGGGTGGAAGGGGCAGCACTGTAAGTCAAGCTTAGGTCCTATTTTACTGCATACAGCTTTGGGTCTAATTTTATGATTGGAGTAAGAACATTGAGAACTTAATAATTATGTCTACATTTGAAATTGGCAGGCTAAGTAGGGGCACTGACCAAAGTCACCAACTTTGCTGTTCTGTCTGGCAGATGTGCCTACATCACGAGACTGGCTGAACGGAATTACAAAACCTTTAGAATGTAAATTAATTTAATATATCTATCTATATCTAGCTCCTGACGTTCAAAGTTAAGTTAAAAAGAAGCTTCAAAAAAACTAGTTTACATTTTTAGCAAATGACTTGCTGTTACTGAACTGTCCACAAGATGGCAGAAGTGTACAGGAAATGAGTGTCACTGGTACAATAAAAATGCATCAATCAAGTATTTTTTCAGTGTGTTCTTTGGCAAGCTATTGATCCATAATATGAACATCCACCACTCTGTATACTTCCTACAGTAAGGAACAAAATGTATTAGTTGTGGGCAGTTATGGAGATCATTTAGGTACAAAATAAACGAATGAGAGATGAAAGTCGTGCAATTTTGTTAACGGTCACCAGCTTCTAAGAAGTCCAATACCAATCAAGGCTAATCCTACCTCATGTCATTCTTCTACTGCAGCAATGTTAACATTTTACACTAGAAGAGACTGCAGAGAAGAAAGCTGAACCTGAAGCTGCAACACAAGAACAAAAAAGGAGCACACCGACCAACTTATTACCCCCAAATGCAATGTCTGCTCATTTAATAGCGCCCTCCCCCTCCCTATGTAAAACGTTAAACAAATATACTTACCTTACACCCGGCTCCTGCACAGGAGAGGTCAATGTCATATTCATTCTGATATCCTGGGAATGATGAATATCCCAAACATCACGTGAAGAAGCTTCAGCACAGTGCAGGAATGTCTTTGCGCAAGATTTGGGAACATTAGAGTTCCCCAGCTCTCACTGGAAGGATCATGACGTCACCTCCCCTTAGACACCTTGGGCAAAGCTGGGTGTAAGGCAAGTATATTTTTTACCTTTTCTCCGCCGCTGTTTTTGCCTAAATGTGGCGATTTTACATGGGTGGGTGGGGCGGGCGTCCACTATTTGAAGCTGAAGTCCAGGCAAACAGCTACACACATAAATAAAATACATACAAGGGGACAGTTTTACCTGCCTAAGGATTTGTATTTCTCTCCATCCCATTCTGAGATTTATACAGCAGGAGAACGGATTTTGCTCTGCAGCAGTTCAGTAACACTTACAGGTCTCCTCCCCAAAGAGGAGCAGCAGGCTGATGAGCATTCATCAGTGTTCTCCATTCCTATCTGAATGTTCCCTGCACTGCAGCACAACTAGTTGGCTCCTGGTGCTGCTTCCCCCAATCCCAAATGAGCTCCGAGTGTAAATCAGCTGACTAGTGCGCAGACTGCCCAAAGAAAGGGCACTACGGCACCTTGTACTTCAATGGTGCCCTCATGGGCGGGTCCTCCATACCATCTTGTCTTGAATTGTAATTATAATGCCTTCCCTATTTTGCAAAGCGCTGTGCAAACTGTTGGCGCTATATAAATCCTGTATAATAATAATGGTGCAATCGCACAACAGAGCGTCCGTGTTTCTGTCCACATGACTACAACCCAACTAAAGTCCAAGTGCTGTACTGTGCATGGTCGAACTATCCAACAGGCTATGTAAATATGCTGCATTGTGCAAGCCTCCTTCTGTTCTTGTTCCCGCGTCATTTATAAATTGCCTTTACCTTTTTATCCTCCCTCGTACATTCCAGGTGCATCAAAACAAAGGGTACTCAATACCTTACCATTCATTTTCTTTCTACAGCAACCACAGCCTGAGTAGAAAAGCCTCTATTCTGTACAAAGCTTCCCACTTATTGAAGAACTCTGGCTGTCTTAGCAGGGGGTGCGTGTCAGACCTCTGCAAAGAGACAAGGGAGCAAGAGTCCCACCTGGCAGCATGTTGTTAGGGGGACAGGATTTGTTAGTCAGGCTGTAGCTGATTTTTAAAGAAAACAAGCTAAGACTTTGCACTTCTTTTGGTATGCGGCTCCCAGAATGGACTTAGCTAGTTTAAAGCTAAACTCCAAGTAAACAGGTAAATACAGAGATGGAATACATATATCAGAGCGATTTTACCTGGCAAAGAATATGTATTACTCTCAATCCAGTTCTGAGATTCACACAGCTCTGCCACACTGCACAGCCCTGTCTGGCAGTTTGGGCAACGTGAATTTTCTCAGTTTCAGTTAAGTAACACTTACAGGTCTTGTCCCTCCCCCAGCCTGTGACTGGACCGTGAAAGAGAACAAGCAGGCCAATGAGCTCATCTCTCTGTCACTCTGTTCTCTCCTATCACCATGCTCCTTGCACTGGGGATCAACTGATTGGCTCCTTGTCTTGCTTCTCCCTCCCCCAGTCTGAGTTCTGTTGTGCAGTGGACTGGAAGAGGCTGATACCAGTCCAACTACAGTAAATTCTGTTATCCGGTATTCCTCTAACCAGAACAATAAATCCCGTATACTCACTGTTTTGCAGATCTGCGGCATGTATTATCCTGGAAATGAACGTGTGTCTATTTGTCTTTGATTACTGCATTTCAATATTAATATGAAGTGAATACAGAATTTATGATATTGTATAGTACGGCGTATGGCATTAGTTAAACCTGTTTTTTATAGTAACTCTCAAGCAACCAGAAACTAAATGTATCCGTAATCTGCCAATCCCCGTAAATGCCGGATAACGGGGAGTTTACTGTAATTACATTAGTTGCATTTGAAAAAATACATTTAAGGATCAATTACAGAGCTACATTCATTTGTGACTTTTCTATCTGCCGGAAATATCCAGTGGGCTTTGTGGATGTATTGAGCAATACAAAGCTGCATTAACTTGTGTTCTTAAAGTGACATTAAAGTCAAAGTTATTTCTGAACTGCGCATGCGCCCGCCCCAAGATCCTTTGCGGCTGCCCGAGAAATTTTCAGATGTTCGGACGGGAGCGCGTGGTGGACACACAGGTAAGTTTAAACCTGTTTGAAAAGGGTTTTTTTTAAAATCGTTTTGCATTTATCTACTGCTTGCTAGCAGCAGATATATGTAAACACATGCAAGGGTTTAATAACCCTTTAATATCTGTCTCGAGTTGTTCAGCATTAATAAGCGGATATTACATCTGGGTGCAAGTCCATCTTTAAAGTGCCCAGTGAGTGCCACCATAACTGTGAATTACACATGTATGCTATTCTTTTTATGCGGAGACCTTGCGACTCTTGCTGAAGGTGCTGGGCAGAAGCACTTGAAATATTTCACAGCATCATCTGTAAAATATCTTAACACTTAAAATCTATGACATTTCCATGATAAAGTTGCCTTCAGTACATATACTGCAGAGATTGTGTCTACTGAAAAGTGTAATCAGAGGTTCTTATCTGTTACATGCACTGATTCAGGCTGCCGCTGAGCACTACAAGAGCCCCTGTGTTCCTTCCCTCCCTACAGCTTGCTGTGTTTATCATATAATCTGTCACTTCTCTGCAATCACCAGACAGATACAACTGACTGCATTGCATATAGAAGCTAATAACTCCAGTAATAAGCTAGATTTTCACAAAACAATAAAATAAAAAACAGGGGGGAAAAAAACAGCCCATTGAAGCATCCTCATTTGTATAATATACCTCCCTCTATATTCTCATCCATTTATAACCGAGTCCCAAATGAGGGCATTCTGCAGCGGTGGCATAGTGGTTAGCACTTTTGCCTTGCAATACTGGAGGTCCCTGGTCAGCACACTATATGCATGGAGTTTGCATGTTCTAACTGTGTGTCCCACACTCCAAAGACATGCTGGAAGGCTGGCCCTGTATGTATGCATGTGAGATAGGGACCTTAGATTGTAAGCTCCTTGGGGACAGGGACTGGTTTGAATGTGCGCATGTAAAGGCATACGTAAATAGACAGCATTATATAAATACATTTCATCTTGTCAGGTAACACTGGCAGTAAAATATGCTCCAATGGCTGCCTTGCATTTTACAAGCACTGGTAGTGGCGTCTGTGCACCATTTTCCTCTTTGTATACCCAGTCAAGAGGTAATCTTTGGGGGTCACAAAGTGTATTTTAAGTAAGCACAACTTTTGAGTTAACATGGAAACTTTATTCTTGACCCCTTCACTGCTAAATCAATTTTTATTTAGTAATGGTCAGTAAAAAGTACAATGATATATATATATATACACACACACACACACACACACACACACACACTGTGAAATAAATGAACTTTGCACGATATTCTAATTATTCGAGTTTCACTTATATATATATATATCATGTATCTGCACTTGTCTTCTCAATGGTTTCATTGAGGACCCTGGATTGTAAGCCCAGCCTCAACTTTTCGCCAAGTCAAAATTAAAGCCCCAACAATGAACATTTCTTATTTGCCTCCTTTTGTTCTGCTAAATATAACACCGGAAGTGTGAGCTGATAACGTCATGTGCTCCCTTGCCTGTACGCAGGGGGGGATATGGAAATGAGGAGATGTTTGTGTTCTTTGTAATCCATCAAAAATGAAGTAGGTTGGGCTGACACCAAGTGCTTAGGAATGCTGTTATCACAAGTTAGGAAGGAAGTTAGGACCACACAGCTATTTTATTCTGTGCTTGCGGAGTGTTTAAAGGCATAAAATATAGGGAAATGTGCATGTATTCCAGAGACGTACTGAATATGGTTTTTATTTTGCCTTGACATAATGCTTTAACCTTTGTCCTCTCCTGGTGCTAGGCCTCACCTCTGGCAAAGCCTTAATGGACTTGTGAGCCTTCAGACATACACAGATGGTGTACAGCTAGGGCTGGGTGAAAGGAGTTTGCTGTGACTATAGATCACATGACCAGCATAAAGTTTTTACAGGATTATTATATTAGCACTTATGTGAATGGTAGCATGCAGCTGGTGGGCCTTCCCTTTCTAGACCAGAAATATAGCACAGGAAGGTGTTTTTTTTTTAACAAATATTTTGGCCAGCAGATTGGACAGTGTCCCATTTCTTCATTCAAGGCCGTCTAAGGGAACTGGTCAGAGAGCTGCCGACTTTTTAAATTGTGAGCGGTAAGGTTCATTATCCTTACCCTTTATGAATCTCTGACCCAGAAAAAGCATGCAGGATTCCTGAAACTTCCCTGGCTACATGCTCGTTCTGGGACAGGACAGAGTTGTCACGTTTAACACAAGTCAGGAGCAACAACTCCAATATTTGTATACAAGCAAGTCTGCTACTCTATAGTACAGATTTGCATAGAGCTGAGAGCTCCTGACCCTGATCTGCCTCCTGACATGGTGGGCAATAATTAAATAATAGCTCTGCCCACCTTGGAAGTAGTCATTCTACATTGTATCCCTATTCAGGAAACAGAAAAACTCAGTAGAAACATGGACAAGCCAAGTTTAAACAGCTTTGACACAAATGACACCAGCAACTCTGCAAACCCAACCATTACCCGATAACACGTTGGTGTTTTTTTATAGCGCTGCACCAACCGCTGTGAAGCACTCTAACTATGCAGGCAGCTTGGTTTGATTGCTTTAAAAGTCTAACATAACTTTTAATGAGACTGCAATGAAAAATGTGAGCCAATACCTCCTAAAGTCACATTGCCGTGGAGGAAGCGTCCTTGATAAATGAGTCGGAGAATGCACGGACTGCTGACCTGCTCCTCTTCCCAATCTGAAAAACACAAGACACTGAGTGAGCTTTTTACATTTAAAATATGCTTTTGACTTTTTGAATACTCATTTAACAACCTGGAATAGTGCAAATAATTCAAACCTGCACATTAATAAATCACAAAATAAAATATCAATAGCTTGATACTGAAAAACGTGAATGTTTTACAATTAAGTGGATCTGAACATTTGCTATGTTATAGGGAACATTTTGAAATCTTAATTGTCCCTAAGAAGTACCTTGAAAAATGTATCTTTCCTCCTGAATTCCTCCTAAAAACAGCAATCCATTTCCTGGTATGTGACGGTGCCTACGCACTCCTCTGCTTGCAGCCTCATAGCTGTATATCTGCAGTGTGAGATCTAGGCTCTGCTGCCTCTGACTGCTAGTCTCAAGAGATTTGGAGTGAGATTTGGTATTTATGTCCTACTTACTGTTCTCCTTGCTGGAGGCTCTGATATGAAGACGCAAAACCCTCCCTCTAACAAGATGGCCACACAGAGACACAGCGCAGAACAGAATCAGAAAAAAGGGAGCCCACAGAAAATACTGGTGGCTAGTCCTTTGCCCTCTGTCTGCCATTTTCTGGGGCATAGGCTCTAGTGTTCAGTTCCTCTTTAAACATAACCTATTCCTTGCGATTTTAGTCACTGTGTTCATGTTGTGCACCTAGTTTCTCAGCAAGTTAAATCCCTATTGTTGTTAGCTTCCCATTTTCTAAATAGCTCTAAATTGGAGCCCATAAAAAAGAAGGACCAAGGTCCTGACCACCTCCAACTCTAAGTACAATACAGCCCTGCTTATACATACTTGGGAGTATGAAAGGGTGGTTGTAAAACACAAACTCAACTACTTCCTTAAGGGAGTTGTACTAAAACGGCTGCAGGGGAGTAGTTATGCTGAGTGGACTTTTTAACTGGACCTTTACTTTACTGTAGGTGGGCACACACAATGCCTCTGATCCTGCCATTCACTGATCACTGTGATGGCCAGAGCAATCACAAATGTAAACTGTTTACAATAGAGAGCCATGACTTGAGAAAAGTGCATAGGTGCAGGGGACCAATGGAACGAAGAAAGATGCCACAGTGGATGAATGCTTCATTCAAAGCAGGGGTGGTTAAAGCACCCTGGTCACCCAATGTTGAGATTTTTTTTGGGGGGGGGATTTAAAGTCCCGGCAACCACCAATGATAGGAAGGGGATTTTAAAATGCCACTGACCGCCAATGATAGTGGGATTGTTTTGGGAATGGACTGCAATTTCAGTACAATACAGTTTTATTCCTCTGGAAACTTTCTTCCACTAATAACAGAAGACTTAGCTTCAGTGAGCAACTGAGCACACCCTAAAGAACAAGCTGAAGTCATATATTGAATTCCCCCCCAAGACATAGCTTCTTAAAAAATTAAACTACAATCATACTGGAGCACAGAACAAAAACTATTTTGTAATTGATCTTAATCTGGCAAGAAGTGAAGGAAAACGCATGCTTACAGCAATTAATGATCTCACGGATCAGCTGCTGATTTATTAGCCACTTTTCTCGGTCAGAATCAATGTCATGCAGTCCATGGAATAAGTGGGTGACCTGGCGTAACACTGGGAGAATAAATATTGCAGAACATGGCACAATTATGGATGCTGCTCAGATACGAGACGTTTCTTATTTCGCACATGACCTTTACAGTGACATCAGCTATCCAATAATGGCCTGGCACTCAGGTGATTGCAGCGCTCCGTCTGCCTTGTATAAAACACCGGAGGTGAAATTAAAACAGAGGATAATAGAAAAGCTGCTGCAATGCAAGATATGGCGGAATGACTCTGAGAAGTATAGAACGCAGACAGAGGTCGTAAACACAGAAGCTGTGCCAGAATTGAGAGCCGGATCAGCAGAAGCAGCTAACAGCACGGGATAAGCAAGGCTCTCATCTCAGCATGAAGGATGAAAACAAACCCATTATTTATCACATTTATAAACAAAAATATGTTCTCGAAAAATAATACATATTAAATGGGGGGGGGAAAAAAAAGAGCAAATCGCAAAATCATAACGTATTTCTCCTAATAAAAGCAGGGCTGTGCTGTCAGCTGTGACAGAGGAAATGATAAATGGCTGGCAGAGGGCTCATGGGAGAGTAAGAAAGAAAAATGGAAATTCTGAGATGCCAGATGTGATCGAGGAGTAACAGCTGATTCCTCCCTCAGACAAGGGCCTTCAACTCAAATAATGGACTACAGATGCTTCATAATTGTAGAAAGACTTTCTGCACAATATACTTGCGTGTGTCACCTTAAAAGCTATCTGTCAAAAACAAACAAACAGGCCTTTAGAAGACAGGCAGTAAAGCCGGTCCATTCACTGCCTAGCCCAACTGGGCATAAAACAGAGCCAGGCAGATTATGTCTGCAGTTTCACACACAATTGCTTTTTGAGAAAAAAAAAACCTCCACTGTAATTAAAGGGAAGCTTAAAGGGTTTTGATCTATTTTATTTTAAATTAATTTTGTTGAGTTACAAGAAAATTGACCATTTCACCTGTATTCAAAATTAATTTTACAAATATATTACAAGATGTATCCCTACCTATGCTTTCTAACAGAATGCATTGATCATGTAAATATGATGATGTGATGATGCCTCTTTGGTAGCAGAGGGGAAGGGGGTGTCTCCATTTTTTTTTACCACTGGTGCACCCTCAAAGAAAGATATTTAAAAGGAAATAGATCTTGAGTAGAACGCCACTTACTGTGTTGCTGTCAAATATTGGCTTTTGCATTGTAACGCACCACTGCTCAATTGCGCACATTTCAACGCAAAAGGCTGCACTTGACTTGCTTTGGCTGCAATGCAAACGCAGGCTGCAGGACAAATGCAGTCCTAGAACCGTCAACCACACTGAAGTGAATTAAGAATCTGCTGACCTGTGTTGGCATGTGTTTCAAAAGCACCTCAAACGCTTGCTCAGGTACACAAGCCCTTAAAGTGACTGTTGAGTAAACAACAACAAAAAGTACCATCTGTAAAATAAGAGGGTTTCCACTTGCCTGTCCCACTGCCCATTCCACAGATCATCTCTCTTGCACAGCAACAGCCACCTAACAACCTACGCACAACTGGGAGTGCTGAAGGCCAGGTCCTTGGCTGCACTTTGACGTTCCTCCCACTGGTCCCTACATTTCTACAGGACCTAGTAGTGACAATGAGATTAGCAGATGGGACTACAGCTTGCAGCGGAGGATGCAAGCACCTGACACTCGTGGAACTGTCAGATGTGAAGAATTTTTCCAGGGGCTGCAGTACTTGAACAAAGTGAGGGTTGGAGGAAAGGGCAGCAGGACAGGTGAAGGAATAGAAACCAACCAAGTTGGTGCTTTTTATTTTTTTCAAAACCACAGTAGAGTAATGCTGGTCATACATAGAAAGTAAACAATCAATGATTGTTTAAAACAATCAAACAGATTACTTGATACAACAAAGAATATGATCAACTGGGATGAATTTGATTTGATTTTCCACCAGTAATAAATTGCCCCATTAGACATAAACTGATCTTTTTTGATCAAAATGTGCAGTGAATGATCACAGCAAAATGATCGTTATATCGAACGACTTGAACGCGTACGGCTGCCATTAGTCTAGTCAGTGAGGAATATAGAGAATCCATTTTACTGTAACCTCTTGCTGCGGTCACTTCTAGAACTATTCCAAAAAATTAGAAAAGTTGGGGTTTTTGGGCAGCCGACTGACAACTTACAAACCAAACATTTTTTAGAAAAAATATTTTATTTGATTAAAAGGTAAGTAGAATTAATAAAATTGACAACATGATTCCCCTGTAAGCTCACTCCACATTAGTTAAGTTCATTCATATAAAGATGACATTTAGAAACTTATGCAATGGAACATGATTGAAAAACATGATAATTGAAAAATTCATGAACACATGACATGATTGGTATAAAGACAGGTGATGGAGGAGCTGGATTTTCTCAACGTTTCGCACTAAATAGCGCTTCTTCAGGGGATGGAGAGGGACAAGTTCAAGTGGCTGTGTTAGAAGTTCAATGATGTTTATATCTTCTATATATCTTTCTTAAATTGTATAGACAACTTCCCTCTCCATCTCCTGAAGAAGCGCTATTTAGTGCGAAACGTTGAGAAAATCCAGCTCCTCCATCACCTGTCTTTATACCAATCATTTCATGTGTTCATGAATTTTTCAATTATCATGTTTTTCAATCATGTTCCATTGCATAAGTTTCTAAATGTCATCTTTATATGAATGAACTTAACTAATGTGGAGTGAGCTTACAGGGGAATCATGTTGTCAATTTTATTAATTCTACTTACCTTTTAATCAAATAAAATATTTTTTCTAAAAAATGTTTGGTTTGTAAGTTGTCAGTCGGCTGCCCAAAAACCCCAACTTTTCTAATTTTTTGATATACCATTTCCAGGGGTGTTGGCATCGTGTGCCTTGATTTAGGTCATTCCATTTCAAATCTAGAACTATTCCATCATATGTCTTTCCTCTGTAGACCAGTGTGCTCATATTCTCTGTACTTTGTCCTCAGAACAGTTCAACTCTTCATACAAGGGGTTCATGCACTGCAACCCAACCGTAGTACCCTTTGATGTAGTCTTAAAGCCAGTACATGTCTGTTCATATTTCAAAGATAAAAAAAGGAGAGAGCCCTCATAGTGTAGCGTGCAAAAAATATTTAGTTTTATTACAAGCAGTAACTTACACAGGCAAAAAAATCCGGCCGGCACAAGCAGCTCAGGAACAAACTTTAAAGTTCCTTTTTTTATCTTTGAAATATTGCGGGACCACGGCAAGGAGTTTTGTTTGACACTGCGCCTGATACGATCCAGCTTTACTTCTGGGATACAGCCAGCGCTGTAAGGGAGAAAAACCGAACACTCATCTTGCAGGGACTGAGATTAAAAACAACTGGGTCCAAGTTTGAAAGCACGATTGCAGGCTCAAGTG